CCTGAACCCTGAACCTTCAACGCTAAACTGGCTGCAGAACTCCTAGCTCCGTTGCGCGGTAGATGAGCTTTGCATCCACCGCCTAGCGCGCCCATGCGGAAGAAGCAAGGAACTTTGATATCATAATATGGAGTGGGAGCTAAGGGCTTAGCACATAGGGGTTTGCAGGGTTTAGTGGCCCTTTTCGGTGCCCGGATCTTTCCAAGGAATACACCCCGAGGAACTGCGTTGTCAAGGAGTCCGCATGGGCAGCGAGCTGCATCTTTGCCAGAACCCTAAACCCTAAACCCTAAACCCTAAACCCTAAACCCCTAAAACCCTAAACAACCGACACCTCAGAGAAGCGCGCGTATCTGCACATCGCCTTGCCCGACTTCGGGGGCTTGCGATTCTTGAGGGGCTTAGAGACCAGGCTGGCGAGCTCAAGGGCGCAGGGGAGGGATGTTCCCCCTGATACTAATGGCTCCTTTATCGGGACTATAGCAGCCCCCCATGATAATCCTCATTGAGCACGGTCACAAACCCTAAACCCTAAACCCTAAACCCTAAACCCTAAACCCAATCAGGGGGAACCTCCCAAGGCGCAGGATTTGAGGCTTCAGAGGCTGTTGGGCTTTTCCGGGTGAGCCCTCAACCCCCTAAACCCTGAACCCTAAACCCTAAACCCCTAAACCCTGAACCCTAAACCCCAAACATCCCTAAACCCCAAACCCCAAACCCTAAACCCTAAACCCGAAACCCTAAACCCTAAAACCACCTTCCACCCTAGATCTGAAGCAGCCTCGGCAAGGTCCTCTTCCTCGATCCAACCGCTCCGGTTGAGGTCGAGCCTGGCGTGGCTCACACTGGCTGAATCTTAGTAGGGAACCCTAAACCCTAAACCCTAAACGCTATATATGATCCCTTAAAGGGCATACACGGGGACCCTAATTCCCTCATTCCCGACTACGAACCAGGGCTCAGAGCTCTTCAGCTGTCGAGCTTTCGGTTTCAAAAGCTTCAGGATAGTTGGCGTTATCGGATTCTACCCTTTCATGGTGTGTTCTGCCCAATTCATGGGTTGTACCCTTCAACAGAAACTTGCAGCCCTGACCCACGAATCCGCGCACAGACCCTGGAGGCCTGTGCTCAGGCCCCAGGCTCGGGCAAGGAAGAAGGAGGCTCCGCTTTGACACCCACGGGGCTCAGGGGCTCAGGCAAAACCCTCAAAACCTTTTGAGAACGCTAAGAACTACGAAAGCTGGCGGGGTTGCGCGAAGGGTTCGTGATGGTCTGAACTTTGTATAGACATGTAGAATGTTTCGCATCATCCCTTCAAAGAGAGAGCAGCCCCACGAATGTTCCACGAAACCCCCCAGCAAGCACCACGACACCCCCCGAACTGCAAACCTGCTGCCCCGGCCTCTGGCATGCAAGGTCGACACCGGGCTCAGACACGCCACCGAAAGACGCCAAGAGCGGCCGAGCCGCCTCGCGCAGCGTTGTTCCAGGAAAGATCCCCACCGAGAGAAGCCTGAACCCTCAAAACCCCAAGCCCGATTCCGCAGATCGCCCATTTACCCCTACTTAGGCTGTCTAACCCGCCATGAGTAGGCCGGGCGGGTCGAGACCCTGGAACAGGATCTGAACGAAAGCCTTAACATCAGAGACAATAGCGATCTTAAGCTTTTGGAGCAGCCACAAGCAATCCTGACAAGAGAGAAACGCACCACTCACACCCTAATCACCCAACCCCAAACTGCACCCGAACCCCAGCAATGACCCCAAATGCATGCTGGCAGCATGCTCTCCACAAACGAACTCAGGAGAAACCCATGGGAAGCGTGGTATGAGAAGGCAAACCTACGCAAACCGTACACGGAGGACCAGGCCCGATGGCACATTCAACAACTCTCCTCTTGCCCAAAAGTTCTTCCATTTTCGCGGCCCAATGCTCAACCACTACCCAATTTGCCCTACGTATAGTCCGATTTACAACAAGCCATAGATCACTAACCCCTAAACCCCAAACTCTAATGAAGCCCTCAACCCTAAACCCCAAAACCCTACCCATGAGTCTCCAGTAACGTAGGGGCCTAAATGTTTTGAACAGGGTTTTGGGGGTTCTTGTTAATATAGTATGTTTATAAAGGGACCATAAGGGAGCATGTTTAATCATTTTTCCGACCCCGATAGTAACTCCCCACCCAAGCTTCCTCCAAAGCCAGGGGGGCACCCTGTGGGCTCAGCGCCAGGAAAAGCTCCGCGGCACCGAGGTCCCTCGATTCCCGCGCGCTCTTAAAGTTTCGGGCTTCAAGGTCTAGGGGGTCTTAGGGTGTTCGGGTTTTGGGGCTTTCAGGGTTTTCAGGGCATTCCAGGTTTTGCAGGTTTTCAGGCCTGTTTAGCAGCTTGGGATGCAGAATTTGAGGATTTGGGGTTAGGGTTAGGTGCCCTAAGGCGTGAGCCCTTTAATTCTTTTGAGATTGAAGCTTGGCTTGCTGTAGGGTTTCGAGGGTGAAGGACTTCAAGGTATGAAAGATGAGACTTACGGTTGAAGGCTTAGTAAGCTACACGTGTGTTCTAGAGGGTCGATGCAGGGCTGTTCTAGAACCTCGGCAATCAAGCGCTTCAGGGCATGTCTTGCCGACACCTTACACCCTAAAGCCCAAACCCTGCCCCTATCCCAAACAGACCTGTTTTGCTTCTTGTTGAGTTTGTCGAAAGCCAGCGCAGTAACAAAGCTGCGAAGCTCAACTTCGGAACCCTGAGTAGGCTTCAGGCTTACACTAGGATGCAACTCCCTCTCCAAACTGCCTCTCAATACTCGGTTAGAGGCAGGTCTCGTCCGAAAGGCGGCCGCCACAAAACGGCCAAGCAGCGTCCAGGCCTCCACCAGTAGCCGTAACAATCCAAAAAGCAGATAACGTCTTTAGCCCTCGGGTTGCATTTCAGCGCCATTAGGGCTAAACCGCTTTTGTAGGGGTTTTTGAGGGCTGATAGGGCTTAGGGTTAAGGCTTCAGGGCTTACTGTCTAAATCTGACTAGGGTTCTTGGCCATTGCTTCTGGGCAAAAACCTCTTCTGCTGAAGTAGGGTTCGAGCACCAAAGCTGCGTTTAAAAGTTACCTACTTATAGCCCAACCCTACTGATAGCTACCCCAATGAACCTCCAAAAGTGGGGCCTCCGCCTCTGCCTCCGGGCCACCGGCCCCAGGCGCCTCGCAGCCCAACTCCTGGAGGGTGGAAGTTCGAAGGCTGAGGCTTTGGGGGGCTTGAGAAGGGGCTTTAAGGGTTGAAGGGTTTTAGGGTTTAAGGGGTTTAAGGGTTTCAGTTTAAGGGTGTAAGGGCTTAAGGGTGTAAGGGTTGAAGGATTGAAGGGTTTAAGGATTTCAGGACTTTAAGGGTTTAAGGGTTTCAGGGTTGACGGGTTTAACGGCTTAAGGATTCAAGGGGTCAAGGGTTTAAGGATTTCAGAACTTTAAGAGTTTAAGGATTGAAGGGTTTGAGGGACGAGGCCCCCTGCGTCACCCATTTGACTCAAACTCCCTCATTCCCGACTGAGAACCAGCTACTCGAGTCCTCCTTATACTAACAGTCCTCTACAGGGATTATCGTACCCCCGATTAAAATCCCTATGAAGGAGCTGTTTTTCAGGGGAAAACCCCAAGTTTCAACGCTCCTGGAGCTGCATCTCCATCTCCTGCTCCGCCTCACAGAGCTCCTGGCTCCAGAGCTTTGCTAATTCTTGGTAGGGAAGGAGGGAATCAGGTACCTCATATCACCTTTCACGTGCCCGTTTGAAGCTACATCCCTATTTCCCTACTTGAGAAGGCCGGTGTTAGAAAGAACGAGCCTGTTGGGGGTTTGGGTTTAAGAACTTTGGGGCTTGGAGCCGTACTCTTGCGAGGTTTGCCGACTGCGCGCCTGCGGCCAACCATGGCCTCAGAACAAAGCCCAAAACCCAAACAGAGTACGGTCTGGGTAGCCTCGTCCAGGGGACCAGGCGTGAGGATTTGTGTGATGTCGCCGAGTGCAAGACCCTCCTGCGTAGCACGATGCCGGCGTTCGAGCGCGCACGTGTTGCATGTCGCGCACTGAACGGGCCCATGGTGCCGCTCGTGCGTCGCAAATGCATGACTTTGCCTCCTTCTGATTCCTCGGAGGCGGGCTCAGGGCCAAAAGCATGTTGTGCGCGCTTTCTTTCCCCGGGTGCTCTGCAGGTCTTCGGCGCTTGCCTTCTAAGCCATGGCGCAGCGAAGCTGGAGGCATCCACTGGGATCCTCTGTGACGCGCGGCGCCACCGAGCTGCATCTCGCCTGCGCGTGAGTCTTGACCTCAAACGCAGCGGTTCCTTGTTCAAGCGCAGGCATGGCTTGGCCGAATCCTTCTAAATCTGAAACCGCAACCCAAAACCCTAAACCCTGAACCCTAAGCCCTAAACCCTATGAGTCCTGTAGCTCCGACTCCAATAGGCTCAACTCCGTCTCCAGGTGCTGCTGATCTGCTAGGAGCTGCTCCTGGAAGCGTAAGGGTTTGGGGTTTGGGGTTTGGGGTTTAGGGCTTAGGGTTTAGGGTTTGGGGTATAGGGTTTAGGGTTTGGGGTTTAGGGTTTAGGGTTTACGGTTTAGGGTTAGGGTCTAGGACTCAGGGGGTGTAGCATCATCAGACTTACTCTTCGTGTCTTCCATGCTCTCGCGTTCTTGATTGTTGATGCTTGAATAAAGCTCTTAAAAGCGACTAAGATGCAAGCACATGGAGAACGTCGAAAAGAGCTGATACGGCTAGGATGAAGGCCCTACCAAGGCGTGCAGCAACATGAGATGCCTGACCTTTGCCACATACCCTTCAACCCTCCGAAACCCCCTAAGCCCTCAACCCGTCTTCTTGGAACCCTCGACTTGACCCCCGAAACCCGGCCCTGAACACCGCGAAACCCTAAACCAAAATTCCCCTCAAGTCCCCTAGAAGTCCAAAATGACCAAAACCTTAACCCGAAGCTCCCCTATCGCTAAACCCTAAACCCTAAACCCGAAACCATAAACCATATGAGAAACGAAAGCACCTCAGGGAAGGAGAGAAGGCGGAGCAGCGGCACCACGTGCTCGCAGTCCAATGGGGAAGGTGACGCCAGGGCATGCAGAGCGTCTTCCAAACCTGTGGTTTCGGGCTTACGGGGCTAAGGGGCCTTAGAGCTTCCAAGGGGGCTTGGGATGACACACTTTGTAGCAAGGTTTAGGGCTTAGGGTTTAGGGTTTAGGGGTTTAGGGTTTGAGGGTTTGAGGGTTTAGGGTTTAGGGTTTTGGGATCATGGGCAAGCAAACAAAACCGAAACCTTCGAAACAATGCTCAAGAACGCCCCAGAAACCCTCGGAGCTGGAAGAAGCAGGGGCGCGGCAGAGCGGGCAGGAGGACTGTCTCTCCAGCCAGTTGTAGATGCAGTGGTGGTGCCACTCCCGGTGTCCGCAGGGCAGGCACACGTCTTCGGAGAGGGAGCAGGGCAGGAAGCAGATAAGGCAGATGGGAGAATCGCCATCAGACACTGGATCCATGTAGACTTTGGGGGCTTATGGGTTGGGATGTTCCCCCCTTATACCAACAGCTCCTTGATAGGGATTATAATCGGGCGTACTACCATCCCTACTAAGGACTGTTAGTATAAGGGGAACATCCCAACCTGTAGGGTTTTAGGATACAAGAGGAAGCTACGCCGGGACGGTGGGACTCAAGAAAGCGCACATCCTCTGCTGCATGTCGTGTGAACGATGTTGCGAGTCCTACCTTCGGGAAATTCGGAGCCCCAAGGTTCGGAACATGCTCTACAATGTGACCCCCGGCGCAGCGCTTCGTCCCACACTTCCTTTTTGCCCGGTGCTGCCCTCACGGCTGAAAGGTCAGGTACCTCGGCTGCTTTTTGGGAACCCAAAAGTAGCATTCCTCGTGTGGTTCTGAAGGATTCACCTGCATGAAGGACAAGCTGCCTCGAGAATGGACTGCATACAACCTAATGTGATAAGCGAGGCTTTGGGGCTTAAGGAGAACCCTGGGATGCTCCCCCTTATACTAACAGCTCCTTAATAAGGATTCTACTGGGGGGCATTATAACCCCTATCACGCAAACATCCCAAGGAGAACCCTTAGAACAAAGAAACGAAGGCAAAAGAGCAAAGCTGCGATCGAAGAAAGATTGCCTAGCGGCAACGCGAGATATGTTTCCTTGGTTTCGACTTTGCCTTTCTTGTTGGCTTGCTGCGTTCGCTTTTGACAACTTGGCCCTACTGTGCCCAAAGCCGCAAGAAGGAAACCTAGCCCTAAGCCGCGTTGCCGAGTGTTGCCGTGGACTTGGGTGCATCTGCTTTGTCACAAACTGCTGTTCACGTTGCTGTTGCTGGTCGGCCACGGACTCTTTCTTTCTTCCAGCGGTTTGGGAGGGCGTCGGGTTCAGTTTTCTTTTTTTTTTTTGGGGGGGGCGGGTTGGCGGCCTGGGTTTTCAGGAGCTTCGGGGTTGTACGAGTTTAGGTCAGTTCCGGCCACGTTCTTCTTCTTGGGGTTCAGGGTTTAGGGCATGTAGGGAGTCTTCGGAAAGTGAAGTCTGGGGCTTGTAGATACTGAGCCTCCCCGTGGCATCGACAGATTGCAACTGCTTGCTACTGTGGAGCACTTTGCTTCGCACATTGGGATTTCCGAAAGTAGGGGGGTACCTTATTGGGGTCCTTTGCTAGAAGGGAATCCCACTATTTTGGGAGGTCAAAACTTGGGGCCCCTTATTCTCGTAAACCCCCACATCTCTTCTCACACTTCGGGAATCAGAACTCTGAGCCCGTAAAGCCCAACTCGGCGCAGCTCACTAACACGAACTCCTCTAAGCCCCCCGTCTGCAACTAGGCCGACCGGCATGAGACCCCTGAACCCTAAACCCTAAACCCTAAAACCAAGCCTAAACCCTAAACCCTAAACCCTAAACCAGCCCTAAAGGGCCCCCTCAAGCCCCCCTAGCACCACCCAGGTCCGAGGTACAAGCACAGCCGTGTCGAGGCCCCAGGCCGTTGCAGGAGGTTGCGGCGGTCCTGGTTGCGCCGGTTTTCTGGGAGACGAAGGTTTGCAGCTAGGGGTCAGGGATTCGGGTGTTTCTTTAGGGTTCCTTGGCCCGCCTAAGGGCAAAAGCCCTTGGGGGCCTTTGGGGATGTCAGGTTTAGGGTTAAGGGTTAAGGGTTAAGGTCTAGGGTTTGGTGTTTTCTGAGCTCTAATCCAAAGGTGCGTGGGCACGTGTTCTCGTTGTACCTGGGGCTACAAGCACAACTACCCTTCTTATAATTTAATTGCATGTACCCATGAGCCTTCAAGCCGGACTTCTCTTACTTTGAATGAAGGTATGTATTCTTCAAACCCTCAACCCTAAGCCCTAAGCACCATATCTTGATTCATATCTTGATTAGAGGGGGGGGGGCAATTCTCGCTGCATCCGTGCAATTTCGCCCCGCAGTCCGCCGCGAGCAGGAGCGACCCCGCGCTGGCAGGCGCTGTCTCCGCCAGAGCTCTGAACCTGCTAGGTTTTGGGGGTCTACTTGGAGGTTCACGGTACTTAGTAGGAGGTTCACGGTACTTAGTAACACTTATGACGACACTTATGATGGGTTACCACGTACCCTGAACCTGCAAGTAGGGGGCTATAGGGGATGAGCAGGTTCAGGGCTTAGGCATATAGGGCTTCAGTTTCAGAAGTTTATAACGTCCAGTGTTTCTAGGTTTGGGCTGTAAAGCATTGCGCGTCCAGGGTTTATGGTTACAAGGTTGTCGCTTCACGGGCGTAGGATAACTCTACACAGGGGAGGGGGGGGGGTTCCGAGACCCCAAAACCCCTATTGGGGAACATACCCTTCTGAGAACTACGTCAAAAACTTTCAGGTCGTAGCTTGGGGGAGAAAATGGTTGGACGGCCAAAGGAACGAGAAGCGGCTCAGGGTTCATCCCCTGAGCCCTGCAGATTGGCAGCTGAGAAGCCCGCAGAACCCATAGATTCGAGCCCATCAAGCCCCCGCAGACAACACCCCAGTTGTTGGGGTTTTGGGCTTTGGGTTTCGTAAGCCGCCAAGAACAGCGAAGACAGCCCTATGCGAAGTCCTGAACCCTTCCAAGGCCAAGGAACGTTCCAGGGAGGGCCGGCATCGTCTTAGCTTGCTTTCAGGGTTTAGGGAAGAGGCTTTAGGGTTTAGGGTTTAGGGTGTGGGGTTTAGGCTTTAGGGTTTAGAGTTATGGGCTGGAGAGCGCGCACCCTGATAGCAAGACCATCGCAAGAAAGCAGATTCCGAGCCCAATCTAGTGGCGGTGGACCGGGCCACGCCATACGAGGCGACGTTCAAGGGCCGCTCAGAGGAGCCAACAGCTGCCAAGGACAGGAGCCAGAAGCACATCCAGTGGTCGACGCTGAAGCCTGCTTGGCTGTTCATGGGCTAGGGCTGGAGGCTGGCTGTGTTTAACTTCCCACGAGATTTTTCGGGATTCCCCAAGCACCCCTCAGCACAAAATTTACCCTCGGAGAGCCAAAAAGGCCTCGTTGAAAAAAAAGACGATAACTCAGAGTCAAAAGTCCGAGCCCCCATGCCGTTTAAGGGCTGCCTCTCAAAGGGGCTGGTGCACTTGGAGACTCAAGGGTGGTTGTAAGGTAGGGTTACATCGTTACCCTACTTTTTAACCCCACTTAGAACTTCCCAAATGAACCTCCAAGTACTGCCCTGCGGCCAGGCCTGCTTCCCAGCACTTGCCCAGCAGCTCCATCACCGACTCCAACGGAAAGTCCTCCGTACCCTTGGTGCTCTTCAGCTTGCGGCTCAAGTCGTGGCTCTCTTGCTCTGCCGCCTGCTCCTTGCATAGGACGTGGGGTCCCCCTTGAAGGTTCATATAGATTCTTTCTTTGAATAGGGCTACGTGTGCAACAGCTAGGGCTATAATCATCTCTTCATAGAGATAGAACTACTGTACCTAGAACCTCACCTTTGAACACCCCATGCACTTTCGGGAGGAGGGCATTCAGGGCTCCCGGCTTGGGGGTTGAGGCTCCTTGGCCAAGAGCTGCCGCATCTCCTCCTCCTTGCCAGGCTCCCCACTAACTAGACACAACGGGAAAAGGGTGTCCTCCCCTCCCCCCCCCCCTCGCAGCCCGAAAGGGAGAAGTCCTGGCCTGCAGAACCAGCCCGCAAGCCCCACAGGGAGCAAGCGTTGAAACTTCCAGGCCGTCGGCTCTCACCGCAAGGCTCCCAGGGCACTCGGCAGTGGGGCACCGAAAGCAGCGTGTGGCATCTGCCGGCACCTGAGAGACCGGTGCATTGCGGGCTAGGAGGGACTTGGGAGGCTCGGGTTCGGCTGCCCACAGAAATGGTGGTCAGGCCCGGTTAGGCTGCGGACCTTGCATCGGGCACAGCAGCAATGGAACTGCCAGCGCTGCAGCACATGCCGACGCCAGGAGGTGGGCAGATGCAGGAAGTGAAGCATAGGCAGGACGTTGCGCTCTGGATAGCCTCAGGTTCTGGAGAGCCCAAAAAAAACCGTGAACCCCTCGTGAACACCCCCGACCCTGCGCACACTCAAGGCCCTAAATCCTAAACCCTAAACTCCTAAACCCTAAACCCCTAAACCCTCAACCTCTTCCCAGGGGCAGATGCACAGCTCCTTCCCCGGCTCCACAGCCACGGTGGCCAGTGCCATGAGCTCCCCGGGCTCCCCGGTTGGCAGCAGGCGCACGTTGGGCTCGCAAGAGTGGTTGAACCTCAACTGGGTTTAGGGTTTAGGGTTTAGGGTTTAGGGTTTAGGGTTAGGGTTTAGGGTTTAGGGTTTAGGGTTTAGGGTTTAGGGTTTAGGGTTTAGGGTTTAGGGTTTAGGGTTTAGGGTTTAGGGTTTAGGGTTTAGGGTTTAGGGTTTAGGGTTTAGGGTTTAGGGTTTAGAGCTTAGGGTTTAGGATCTAGGGAGAAACCCTAAAGCCCTCTTCAAGATATGTGGGGTTTACGATGTTAGGGGGGTACATTCTTGGGGGTCCTTATGATAATGGAATCCTACTATTTGCGGTCTATATTGGGGGTCCCCTATTCCGTAAACCCCATATGACTTCCCGAATATTACCCATGTATAGTACCCATTTACTTACACCCAGCGCCCTAAAGCATGCCCTGTTGAAAGCGATATCTTGTTCGATAGTTGCCAGGCTGCCAGGTACAAAACCAAGCACATACTTGACTGGCCTTCTTGACTCTTCATGCGCACTTCACGGTAGAGCGAAAGGCTCCGTACCAAACAAAATGCCCCAACTTTCCCCACCTATGACCCTCGGTAAGGCCATGAACTTTCAAATCCACAGGGAGTCGTCGGGCGCTTGACCCCCCGAACCACAGATTTACTGTTTTAAGCTTCAACTTTTCGTACCTAGCAACCTGCTGATCTTGTGGAAGATGCACTGCTCATGGCCCCTGCGGCTCATAAAGGAAAGCTTGTTGGCATCCCAGACCTGGGTCACCGAGCGTGTCGACCCTAAACCCTAAACCCTAAACCCTAAACTTAAGGTTTACAAGGTCGCGGAGTTGCTCTTCCAGCTCTTATGCAACAACGTTCTCTGGGGGTTTCCGAAATTAGGGGTACCGCATTGGGGGTCCTTATAAGAAGGGAATCCTACTAATTGGGGGCCTATTGGGGGTCCATTATTTTCGTGAACCGCATCTGAAAAGAGGAAAAATCTAAGGGCTTCTCAACTTCATCGAAGAGTTTACCGCGGAATGCCACAAGGCCTGCATGTCTGTTGCATGGCGATAGTTTTCCTTCCCACTCCAGGGTGACCCCTTTTCGCAATCCCCGTGGTGTCGCCAGCGGGCCTGTTGAGCACACCTCTTTCAAGCCGATTCCGTGCATGAGGGTCTTGCCACACCTTCACACCTTCACTTGTCATGTCCTCCGGCGTGAAAATCCTGGAGTCTAAACCCCGAACCCAAAGACAACATCGACTGAAGGTTCATGGAACAGAAGACTCAATGCGCGCCCGAATGCTGAAGTTTGGAAGTGTGAGGAGCTTCTTCTCGAGGGTTTGGGGGGTCCACTTGCGTGCGTGTGTGTCTATATATATGGTCACACGAAAGCGGACTGCGTCGCTAGCCAGGTTAGGCTCTTCGGAACCAAAGTTCCGGAAAGTATTAACTATGCGCTGAAAAGAAAAACCTCTCGAGGTGACCTTGGCCTGCTTAACACGGCCGGACTATGTGCAGGGATCACCGAGAGAAAGCATTGAGGGCTTAACCAGTTCCGCGAGAAGCTCGGCGGCCTGCGGCTACTCACTGGTTTGGCACTGTACAAAGCCCTAGGCAAATTGTTCTGCAGGTTGAACTGCCTGGTCTGTACTGCCTACCCTATAAGCCCTGCCTGTACAGGGGAGAAACTCACCCACATTCGGCTCACTCAGAAAAGGCAGAAGGTCTGGAACCGACACACGGGCTATGCCTGTACGAACTGCAGACAAGTGGATTGGCAAAGTCGCCAACCTCCGGAGCAGGCCTAAGCTTTCTCGCTCTTACTAACCTAGGCCCCAGAAACCCATGCCGCAGCAGCACTGAGCTCCTGTTTGCCCCGTTTGCTGACCTGGTTTTCTCGCACTTACTCACCAGGGAGGAGGAACCAACTTTCTCGCTCTTACTCACTGGTTCAACCTCAGCGGCTCCAGAGGAACCCACACCACTTGCACGCAGGGAGGGCTTGGTTGATTTGGGCATCTCAGTTGGGCCGGCCTTCGGGCTCCGAGCCACAGCCTTTAACCTCCGCAATCTGGTGCCTCAGGCTGTCCGTCAGCCTAGGTTTTGGTCCCTAACAAACAACGCCTGCCGCTAGGCTTCCTCCTGGCTGGGCTTGCACCATCAGGAGAAAAACAACACACCCTGCAGGGACAGACAAAGCAAATACTTGACAGGCCAAACACGGGTAACCCCAAACTGATGCAGGGCAGCATGCCCTCGACCTCAACCGGCCGGCGTACTAGGATCCTCGTCCATTCCTCAACACCTCAGCGCGCAACCCTCCCCTCATCAACCAGTGAGGATCAACAGGGACCGGTTCTGACGTTTTCCGTGCGTGCGCTGTGTTTGCGAGAACCCCGTGTTGGGCCTGTGAGTACCCGCAAGCACCTGAGCCCGAAAACCCGGTCCAGCGGTCTGCTTGACAGACCGAGCAAGGGGGCTGAACCGGTGTCAGGCTGAAACATAAGCCGCTTCTAGGCGGCCAGTCCTGCCGGGTGTCCAACGGAGCAACTGCGAAACACTCCGTTGGATGGAAAAGGGGTGCCGGGACTGGGCACTGAACTGCTTTCACTCTAACCTGCATCCTTATGCTTTCATTGCATGCAGTTTCGCTTGTTCGGACGTCTCTGCTGAAAAGGCTCTGAGACATTGGGATTCCGGAGGGGAGAGTCTCACCCTTGATTCTGGCAGGGCATAAGCTCCTGCAATTTGGGTGGGTTGGGGCCGTATTAGGTCAGACATCCCGGGGGGTGTCCTCCAAGTCTTCAAAGCCACACAATTGCCAATCACTGCTGCATGCTTCTTCTGGGGAGTCTTGATCCTGAGAGCACCCTTCCTCAAGGAAGGTCCAGCCATGTGCGCTGGCTGCAGAAGACAGCGGAGCAAGCGAAGGCTCTGCGGGCTCTCTAACTTGGCGACCTAGTTGACTCAAGTCAGCAAGGGTGGCGTAGTCCAGAAACACCGGTCTCTTGACTGCTTGGTCGAAACTTGGCCAGTCCCACTTGCTCGCCCTGAAATTTTCAAGGTACAGGGAGCAGTGGTACTCGATGCGTCTTCCATCCTCTCCATGCAAGATCGCTGGTTGCCTTTTCCCAGGACCTGGCACGAAATTGAGGTTATGGGTTGGAATGTTACCACAGCCAGTGCAGTTAAAGTTCAAAAGGCGAAGCCACTGCACGGGCGGGTCGCCTCACGTTCCCCCGTGGAGCTCTGCTGGGTCTTCCATGCATCTCCATTGCCCACAAGGTCCGGCTCTGACTGTTTTGCCGGATTTGCTGGTGCGAACAAAATACACGCTGCTGTCCTCGGAGAGGAGCAGCCACTCTTTCCGGCCCTTGTGAAACCAGCGAAAGCAGAGTGCTTGGTGGAAAGACCTGCCTTGGCTGGAACCACAATTGGCTCTATGGGCCCAAGTTCGCTCTGCACTAGCCAGGTTGCTCGAGCATCTTACCTGGTCTTCCAAAGCTGGAGAAACTCCACAGCCGGCTGTAAGAGGACTCGCGTAAGGGAAGAGTTCCCCAAGCCGGGCTGCTTCGCCCTCCAGTCGGGCCGTGCCTTCTTCCTGGCTCTCTGCAGAGCAAGTTGGGTGAGATGACTCCAACCCATCACTTGCTGGCAGTGAGGATCTCGACTGCACAGGTGCTCTGGACATGGCTCAAATGAAGGCTGTGAAAAAGCAGGCCTGGTACCCAAAGCAGTTAGGGGACTCGAGGCTGGTTCACACAGCTACCGCTCTGCTACCTGTGCACCCCACCGGGGTTGAGCCGAGATCTTGAGCCAATTATATATATGGTCACCCCCCCTCATGAGAATCCTCGTAAATACCGAGAATTTTCGGGAAGTCTGATACTATGTTCAAAACAGTGCAAACAACATACAAAAAAAAACACGTGTGCTTTGCACGTTCTACACTTCATCACCAACAAAGCATCGGAGAGAAAAAAGCGCACGAACAAGCCTTTTTAGTGACACTGTGTGCCTGATTTGACTAGGAAACACTTACTCAAAAAGAAAATGTGTACAAGAAACACTTTTTGCACAGTTTGTCCACACAGATCCAAAAATCCAAAAATCCAAAAATCCAAAAATCCAAAAACCCTCCAAAAACCAAATCTTTTGGAGTTCCTAATTGCTCCAAGGCGTTCTTTTCATCAGACAAACGCATGTTTTTGCGGATTTCAAGTGCCTCAAGCCTTAAACAGAAAATGAAATTCAAAAAAAACTTTTTTTTGATTCTCAAGCACGTGAACAATCGAGATGCTACATTCACTCTATGGAACAAATGACATTTCGCACACAGGGAGTAGCTAAGTGAAAAACGAATATATATGTGTGGCTGAGACCCTAACAGCCACTTGCGTACTCTGCGCAAGCGCAAATCTGGGAGGCATCTCGTCGTCAAGTCTCGCAGGTGAGTGAGTGAGCAGGGCTGGCGGGAGAGCAGGCGCGCGCCTTCGCCGGGGGCACAGGCTATGGGCGAAGGCCATCCAACAATCGGGGCAGAGTGTCGCGCAGAAGCATCACTACCGAAATTGGGGCGGCGTGCGCCCATATTCCACCACCGGCATTGACTGCGTGCGCAAGGTGACGTGACAGGAGGCGCAGACTGTCCTGTAGGGCAAGCCCAACAGGCTGGGCTGCACAGGAGAGCAGTTCTTGCCACGATGGGAGGTCGGCCATAATGTTGACTTCACATTAATGATTCCCGCCGCAATTGTAAAATCCCGCTGCCGGAACACAATAGTGTAGCCCGCCACAATTGTAAAATCCGACCCGGGAAATCCGGTTTTTACGGGCGTGGTGCTACTACCTAAAACTAATAGTACGTCCTACCAGGATTTAGGCGAACATTATTGAGGAGGCCCTGGCCGGAGAGATTGATCAATGAAGGGGGGGGGTTATTAATGCGACGTCAACATTAATCGGGGACGCTGTCGGCCATAACAGGTACACCTTGAGCATGGAGTAAGCCGGTGAGCTGGGTGTCGGAGGTGCGTCCGGCAGGGCTGCAGGCTCTGACGCTGGCGACTGCCGCTGGCGCGGGGAGGAGGGCCCAGCGGACCTCCGGATAAACTGGCCGCCAACGCGGCTCTGCAACCATGCGTCTAAGGCGGAACGGCGGGGGGCCGTCTGAGAGTATTCGCTGGAGAGGAGTCTACTTTGACGTAGACTGGAATATGACTCCAACTCAGCGTCAATGTGAGCCTGGAGGTCGGCAGGCTGGAGCTTGGATAGGAAGGCGCCGAGCCACATAGGGAGGA